CAGTGGCTTGTGTTTCACTCTATATTAGCATCAAGCGTGTTTAGCAGACTGACTCTTTCCTGTTGCTTCATTGTAGGCGGCCATCCGAAAGGAGCTCAACGATTATAAGAGCACTGAAATGGAGGTCCATGAAGAGAGCAGAATCTACACAAGGTATAGCTTTTTATCAGGTGGATCTTGACATTATCATCCTTCAGATTGCAGTTTTGGTTCATTTGGCGATACCTGTGGTTACCGTGGTAACAGCAAGTGCAGTTTAATCCTACAGCAAGTACTCTGTGTGCAGCTACTTTATTAGAAGTACGACAGAAGAGCAACTGATGTATCTGATGAAGCTGAAGCTGTTCCTTCTTCTTCTTCCATTACTCCCTGCCATGTTTTAAAGCTCATCCATTGATGAAAAATACTGAAGATTACTTTTGCCCTGTTTTGTATACAAAGTATTTTTTTCAGCACTAACCTGGGAGACTGTTTCCTGTGACTGCTTCACAATAAAAGCCACCTCATAATTCATCTAAACACATTTAATGTGAAGCAGCATCAGTAGCAGTAACTTAATACAGCTCTGATACAGAGTTGAAAGTTAACAGTGAGGCTGATATGAATGAGGTAACATTAAAAGCAGTAAAAATGGATTACATATTTGTGTCGTGTGAATCCTTTGTGCACGTGAAGGCAAATTAAATCCAGCACAGGAATGGCGGACCCCGCCACTAACAGTGAAAACTACTATATAGAGACAGATGATAACACATTGGCTATTGCTAAAAAATGCTGACCATAAATAGGGTTGGGTACCGAACTCAGTACCGTTAATGGTACTGAGCCTAAATACAATTCATATTAAATCCACCGCTGCTAAATGTCGGTACCTGACAGCACATGGGACAGGAGATTAACTTTATGTTTAACTACAAAAGAGAAGAAGAGCAGAACTGTATTTACGTCACTCCTGCAGCTTGTTAGAAAATTACATTTTTGTTATTACATAGAAAGTAAAGTACCAAAAAAGATAACAGTTGTACACTGGGTTAAATGTGAACAGTACCCAACCCTAATCATAAACTATCAAAAATCAGGTTTCAAAATTTTAAGAATTATAACTTAAAACAGAATATGAGTGTCTGTTGATGCCTCATGTGATCTCGTTGCTTTGTTATAGGTTTCATCGGCCTTAGCCCCCCACCCCCCTCGCGGCCGCCTCTGCGCGGATAATGAAGCACTTAAGATCTCTGTGAGGCAAGAAGCTGCTCCCTACGCAGACGGATCGCCCTTTTACGTTTCCCGAATGTACTGTACAGATTATCAGGGAAAGCCTGGAATTGACTCAAAAACAAGAATGCTTCTCGCTTGCCCTCCATTGCCCTCCCACTACATTGCTTTCGCTAAACTGAGGTGGTGGTGGGTGAGGACCAGATGCAGTATTTCTCCCGGACGACAGGGGGAACCACGTGCCAATGAAGGGGGGAAGTGACAGAAGACCTACAGGGCTGACTCTGACTCTGCTGTTGTGTGGTACCCCTCAGGGACTCGGATCTAGTTACAACCTTTAACGCGGCCTCATTCTGTGTTGCCTTTTTTCTTCTTTACTGTATATGGAAAAGCTAATTCATCTTGTTAATGTAATAACACACAATAATAATAGTAATAATAATGATGATGACTTATAATACTCCACACAGTAATAATAGATAAGAGACAAACAGCTGCAGCGAGAGCGGGCTAGAGGATGAAGACTGGGATATTCTGTTATAGGACTGGACATCTCTGGGATATTGTGTGTGTGTTTTATATAAATTGTGTACAGACTGCTATTGTTATACCTTAGAATGAAACTTGGAAAGATCTAATTACAAAATCTTCTGTAATGTACAAGATATTTTATATTGTAATTTGATCACATGAGTAGTGACAGCTTTTATTTGAGCCTTTTTTTATTTGGCTTGCCTGTATTTATGGTTGTGATGTGAGGTGGCCATTTAAGCGTCAATCTAGATATAGGAAAAAGGTGCAGGTCAAGAGGCTTGTTGGTGTTTTAATGTGTGCCAACATACCCGACGCCTAAAGGACTATAGGATACTGGTTTTCATATCACTGATTTCTGCAATCCACTGCATGAGCCAACACAGAATCCAAGCCATTGGATCTGGATAATCTCTCTTCATTTATACTTTTTTTATGAGTTTTTGTACTTCCCTTTAAAGATCAAACATGCAATGCATTCTGTAGCCATTTTGAATAAGGTCATGCTAATAGTGTCTATACTAAGAGTTAAATGTAAGTTGCTGTGCGTGTAGATCAGGGATTTATCAAAGAAAAAAAAAATCAGAAAATGTATAAACGGTCAACAGGGAGTCATTTTTGGCTGGAACCTTTTGAAACTGCAGAAGTGTTTTATCTTGTATTGTCGTCTGGCCAGTAGCTTACAGGGTTCTCTATGCTGTGTACAGGTTGATATAGGTTTAACTGATGCTTGTGTATATCTTGTCTTCCTTTCATTTGAAAAGAAATTTTAAATATAAAAGTATTATAGGTTGCTATTTTTTTAAGCACAGAATATTAGTTTATGATTAAATGCTACAAGAATGGGAATATGAAAGTGTACCTTTTCTGTAAAACTAAGTTCCTTTTTAATTGAATGTGGAATTGTATGGACTGACAGTTTTCTTTCTAATTGTAAATAGTCACATCTGGATCTAATTAAAAATCATACAATTCCTTGAACCTCTGCAATGACTCTGCACCTGGCTCTTAAATCAATAGACCTGTCTCACCTACGGATGTGTTCAGGTGGACATTGGCAAGGAAGACTTACATTGGAACCGCTACAGTAAGAATACAAGGCTGCAGTGACACCTGGTGGCACTGCGAGGAGCTAAACCTGGAGATAGTTATAGATGCATCATGCATAATCAAAATGTCTATAAACCGATTCAAACTTGACAACGTAAACTCTAAATGAGTCAAAGTGTATTTCTTGTTGGAAAGTATGTTAATGCTAAACAAACGGGCCAAAACTGTTAGCAATTAAGAGTAGCAATTAAACGTTCCATAGGAACCTCAAAATACATTTAGTTGTCTAAATGTCGATGCTGAAGATTAATGCAGTATATTTTCATTGTAACTATATTATCAGTGATTTTATGTCTTATGAGATGTTGTGAGTTGAGAAAGTTGCAGCATGATAAAGGCCACAAGTTGACGCATGAAGACAAAATGTCTCCACAGATCACAAAATAACACTAAAATGTAGATTAAATGAATAACAAGGAAAACCAGCATTGTCAGATTGCTGCACATACACAGGATACATACTATGTGGCCATGCAAAAGTAATAAATAAAAAGAAATACCCAAGCATAGAATATATTCATTAAAAATGTATGGTTTGGGACCAATGCAGATATTATACAGAGACATAACAAATACAGAGTCACATAGTATTTACATTAAGTAGTAGAATACATTAAACAATCTTAGAACAAAGACTGAACAAAAACTGGACTGTACTCTAACTCTAATATACAGTATATTACAAATGGAGTACACATACGTATATATTTTTACCTTTACTTCAAAATCAGTCTAAATATCATAAAAGCAATACAAAATGGATGAAGGTGAAAACATGCTGTACCCTCAGTCCAGTGGTTGTTGTTTTTTTTTTTTAATTAATTACAGGCAAACGATAATACACATAGCACAGATGACAACATGACATGACAATAGTCTCACAAAGAAAAAAAAGACTTATGAAGTGCAGACACTGGCACGGTCGTGCATTCATACATTTAGAAGTATATCACATTAAAATAAATACATTAATTACAGCATATGTTAAGCTTGAATACCATGTATCCCTAACATATTATGGAGTTTTTTCCCCTTGCAGCAGAAATCATTTGCATGCCATTCTCAGTGAGGCTGCAATTAACCTTTAATCAATTGTAAAAACTGCAGATCGCAACTTCCCAGAGCCCAGTGACATTTTTAAATTGTGTGTTTTATCTGACTGACAGCCTGAAACCCACGGACATTTCATTTACAGTGAGTTTTGAAAATAAAAAATATTTCATTGTCACATTTTAGAAGCTAGAACCAGCAAAAAGCATTCTTGCTTGAAAAATGACTAAATCAAATGTCAAAATGATTTTTTTTTTGTAGGACTTTTTCTGTGATTTATTAATTGTTTTAACTCTAATTAAATATTTTGTTTGTGCAGATGTTGTCTCACCAGGAAAAGTAGCAGTAAAACGATTATACATACCATACAGTGAATAAAAGAAAGGGTATTTAAAAGTTAGTAGGATCAAATTAGTAATTCAGATGACTAAGTTGGTAGTACTGGTACAAAAAAATAATAAGAAATTTATATGACAGAATGTAAATATAATGCTATATAGTTCCACTCCAATCCAGTGTTTTAATCGTCAGGCGACCCTTTTCTTTTCATCTGGATCACAGATTTGCAGTGTTGCAATGTAAGTAGGTAACTAAGTTATCCGCCTAAGTGGGTTTCTATTCCTGCTACCTGTACTCCACTACACTGATTTGACAACTATAGTAACTTAATAATGGGCTGAAAAATTGTCCCTATATGGGATTGTCTACGGGTTCCATATTGGCCCCATGACATTTGCCCACATGGGTGGGTTTATCGAAGTGGGCCCCAGATAGGATGCCCATTTTGGACCCATACCCACTTTGTACCCAGGTAGCCCCAGCATCACCCATGTGGGGCCCACTTGAGCAAACCCATGCATGAGGGCAATTGGCATGGGGCCAATATAGGGCCATTTTTTTTCAGCCCATTTACTACCTACATGGTGGTCATTGGAGCTCTCTGAAATACAATACATTGTCAAAGTTTATAATATGGTATACAGGAGAGAATCTCTGTTGCACAAGAAGTACTTTTACTTTCCTACAGTGGGTATTGATCATATTTAATTACTTGATTACTAAATTTTGATTTGAGTGCTACTGTCTCTTTAAGGAGGCGGGGATTGCAGAGCGTGACGTAGTACGCACGGTGCGTGTCTCAAGACCGGGAACAAACTGCGCACATCCACTTCTGGGTAAACTGCAAACTTTAGCATATCACAGGTCAGTAAATTATCATCTCCTAAACTATTCAACTGAGACAGATAAGCTTTATTAAACCCAACTGAAGCAGTGGATGTGTGGGTCATTGGATATTTATGTTACTTCAGTTCATTCATTCCTGAATGCCATGCTAACGCCGCGCTAGCTAGCACACTGCTCTGGACGTTAGCTAGTGTCACACAGGCTAGCTTTGCTTTAACTAACATTCTCTATGTGGGAAAAACATGACTTTCGCATCCCATATTCTCACTGTATCAGTAGCTCACTGTGCCACATTTATTCACCAGTAAGAGGAGGGCTGAAACTCAGCCACGTAGAGCACTTTCGGTCACTAGCTATCAAAATGTTAGCAAGGACACATGGGCACTGCCAGAGTTAGGTCACGCTGCTTATTTTAAACTGCGATATGCTTCGAGCTTATACAAAATGTTAAAGCCCTGACAGCACTCTCTAGGCTTGTCCCCAAGACAAGGTGGTGTTTATCAGAGAGTCCGTGTGTGTAACAGAGTTGGGCGTGACTCCACTTTAAATTGGAGCAGTGGTTTTGTGCCCGTTTATTTCACAACAGCATGGGAGCAGAAGCAGTAAAGCACAACTGTCTGAGGGGTGAAAGAAGACGACGCTGTGCCAGCCATTGAAACGACTCTCTGACAGCTGTTGAACCCCAACAGCTTCTGGTTAAGGTTACGACCTAAATAAGGGTTGATTGTGTCTGTCGGTCAACTCCAGTTTGCCAGTGGGCTTGTGGTGTATGGGAATACACCACAAGCACCACAATACACACCACAATACGCACCACAATACACACTTTTACTTAACGTGAAAGTCCCACAACATCACACAAGGTCCATTGTAGTTCAGACCTGCAGCAGAGAGACCATGGTGGAAGTTTTGATGTCAACCATGTGTTCATAAACTGCTCTTTGATTTGCAGTATGGGGTCATTATGCTCAAATGTGACTTTTTTCTACATTAATATGAGTGCTAGACTTTATCAGTAGATGCTCTGATGCGAAGTGCAGACCCAGGTACTTTTGTGCATTTATAAATTTACAGGTTTATCACAAATTGAAATAACGTAATTAATTAGTGCACTGGTTAAGCTGGAATATCACATGTGCCCCTAACATATTAGTAACATATTGTTGTCAGTGAGGCTGTAATTAACCTTTTATCAATACTAAAAACTGTGAATCGTAACTTCGCAGAGCCCAGTACATTTTTAAATTGCTTGTTTGTTTTATCCAACTGACAGTCTAAAAGCCAGGGACATTTAATTTACAGTGAGTTTTAAAAAGAAAAAAATATTACATTGTCACATTTTAGAAGCTAGAACCTGCAAAATGCGTTCTTGCTTGACAAACGACTAAATCAATTGTCAAAATGTTGTTTTCGTATTACTTTTCTCATGTTTTATTAATTGTTTTAACTCTAATTGAACATTTTGTTCGTGCAGAAGTTTTCTCACCAGAAAATGTAGCAGTATAACTAAAAGCCATGATGGTGGTTTTGTTCTCCTGTAAAGTCCCGGTTTCCCAACAGGCAGGGCACATACAGTTTTTGTGTACACTGGTCCAGAGGTTCAGATTCAGTGGCATTGAGCACCTATCATGTGAAGGGTGACTTAATCAGCTTGCAACCTCTGTTTCACTTTCCATTTGTAGCTTTTGTGATCAATTGATCTGCAGTTCAGGCAATATTTTTGCAGTTCATTTTTCTTTATAAGCTATCAAATCGAAGTGGTAATTGATGGTAAGCTGACACCTACACTTACTTGATTTTAGTAAGTTTTGCAACTGAGTTTGTAATTGTTTTACAGTTTTTTCTAATAAACATCCTTTTCATTAAGTGGTTTTTTTTTTCATGTACAGCTCAGTGACTTTAACCAGTGGTAACTTATTAACATCTTACACCAGTCTCCTTATATGTTTTTTCCAAAGTTGTCATCATGCCTACTAAAAAGACCGCCAAGAGGAAGTCTGAGCCCATTGTGGAGGATGAAGGAGAGCCCAAGAAAGTGAAAGGTAAATCACTGTCATTCAAAAAAAATGGTCAGTAAAGGCAACCAGACTGCTCTAGACCCACACTTGTTTTTTCTGTGTGTTTTTATACATTGTTAACTTGCTAGCCTGAGATACAAACACCGTAAATCTATTCTAACTTGAATAACCAAATCAGATTGCTGTTTAAACAACAATACACAACCAGTTTATGGGAGGAAAGCATGTCCCACCCAGGGTTGTAAATTAACATTTTTGGCACCTGCCACTGTGGCTGGTGGATTCCAAAATCTACCAACCTCTCAATAGATCATTGTTGTTTTTCTCTGGCTTGTGAGTAAAGCAAATCTAACAGTCGCTTGCATATTTTACCAACGTTTGACTGGTGGCTGGTGTCAATTTCCAACCCAGGTACACCCTAATCACAGTTTAACAGGTTTGCCTTGAGTCCCATGCCTGTTTTTTCAATTCAGATTATTATTTGCATGCCACAGTCAAGACTAGTAACACGTAAGACCAAACTAAACAACTGCTGTGAAATTGTGTTTGTGTTTGTGTCTAACAGTTTCTCACAGGAGTCATGGCAAGGAAGCAGGTCAGGTTCTTGTTCTGGGCCAGGGTGAGGTTGGGCAGTTGGGTCTCGGCGAGGACATCTTTGAGAGGAAGAAGCCAGCCCTTGTGTCCCTGCCAGAGAAAATTGTGCAAGTGATGGCTGGAGGCATGCACACTGTGTGCCTCAGCGAGACTGGACATGTAAGAAAGCATCTCTTATTTCTCTCAAGTTTAAATTATATGGTTTAATGCTCTGGCTAAGGCCCACTGCTAACATTTTTTAAGGGTGATGAGTTTCCCAGATAAACTGATATTTTTATTGCTGTAGGTCTATACTTTTGGCTGCAACGATGAAGGTGCCCTTGGTCGGGCAACAACAGAGGAGGGATCTGTGGTTCCAGGAAAGGTGACATTGGAGGAGAAGGTGGTCCAGGTGTCGGCAGGGGACAGCCACACAGCTGCGCTCACAGAGGATGGAAAAGTGTACATGTGGGGCACCTTCAGGGTTAGTTACCTCCTCTTTTTAGCCACCTTGGCCTGTGATTAGAAGTGTGTATGTTTGTGTTTGTGAGAAATTTTCCCTACATCTAGTCAACTAGTGATTTTTGTAACCTTTTTAATCCCCTCCAACTACAAAATTTACGAGCACCAGTAGAAATGTTCTGTACTCATGTTCAATTTGCACATACACCTGACCATCACAAACATTATTGTACACTGTATTAGCAGCCAGTCCATTAAAAAATATTTGATTTCAGATAGATACAAGTCACTTATCAGCTGGCAGTCAGTGGCTCTCAAAAAATTCACTTGAGCATTTGATCAATTCAGTTTAATAATTTGTCACATTGAATTATTCAAGGTAAAAGTCCATTGAAATGTGATCCCATTAGATCCTTTTTCTTGTGTACTGTAAATTAGTCCTTTTAGCATCTTCCGATGTTTTTGGCTGCTGCCTTATAATCATCCATGTTTCTGGTAATCCATGGTTTCTGGATGTGGAATGATTTATCTGTCCACGCATCCCAGCCTCAACCAGACGGCCGCATGGTTGTTTCTCCCAAACATGGCAGCGCCGCACTGCTGCCACCATTAGCAGTGATCCACAGCAGGACCAGCCAGAACAGCACCTCACATTCCTACTGTCACAACAGTCCTTATTCACAGTAAAGCACATGCCGCCTCTCCGTCTCTCGCCAGAGTCCTCTGCTCTGTCAGATTGGCATGTAGAGAGTCACCTGGTTGAAAAGCGCAGTTCGGGATTTAGCTAAGTTTTGGTGAATTTGTAATGTTTTCTGAAAAATAAATTTAATTTATGATGAAATAACAAGACAGTTAAAAACATAAAACAATCTTCTGTCCATATATAATATCCTCAGTATTATCCTTTCTGGTCCTTTTTTATTTATTTGTTGTATCTCAGTGGTATAAGCAATCTCATGGAGCTTGAACAAGTGGCACAGAATATCTTGCTGACTAATTTGATTTAAACATTTCAAAGCTCATTAGCACAGAGCTTGAGTCTGAACGTATTAATAGTTTCTGGGTTTGTCCTTCTGTACTCAGTACAATGTCAACAAGATGCAAACTGAATGTATACTAAGATACATTCAGTTTTGTTGCTGGCACTGAGAAAGTACTGTGTCCCACAGATGGGCACAAATACGTCAAAAAGTATCATGTTATGAATTAGTTGCTTATCAAATGTATCAAAATGTGACCTTAACCACTCCACACTGAAAAGATAAGCTCTGCTAATTTCCTACATCGTTGGTTTTAAGTGGCCAATCAGGATATCTTGAAGGTGGGAGGCTTTGAGGTCAGGGTTAGCTGGGAGATGTGTGCAAGCTGCGAGATCGCTATGTTCCACAAGCTCTCTAAACTTTTTTAGTCTAATAAACAGCTCCTTCACATGCCACAAACATATAAACACCTCTGGCTTGATGGGTGTGTGTATTGGGCTACAGGGTGAGCAGCAACTCTCATTTGTTCTTTGGCTCAGTTGGTCAGTGCTCATGAGTGACTGTTTCTACGGCTAAGGGGGCTTTTTGCTCATAAATGACTCGTTTTTCGGCTCGGGGTGTGCACTGAACTAGACCCTGGAGCAGTGGCCCTTGCAAGTTTACCTGTCTCGTATACACAACAGCGCATGCACCATACAGAACCAGGATTTTGGATTCGGTCCTGCTTGTGACTCCAGTTAACTAATTTCTCTTTAACACTAATTTGAAAAAGAATGATGTGTTCATGAATCGAGCATCACCAGTCCAGGGGACCACAGATGAAATGCGGTAAATTACAAGGAGCTCGTTGCTGGACATGACAGGACATGTCACGTGATTGATTTGCATTTCACAGAAAAACTGCGATTAGGCTAATTGTTGTACTTTTTTCCCCTGCAGTTTAAACCAGGGGATATGTCCTATTTGAGAATAAAATGACATTAACTTAATGTATTTAAGTATTCCAAATACCCCAAATACAAGCTCTTAAAGTACTTTGTTACAGAGTACATTTTATTTTTTCTGTCCAGCTAATTACTTGATGATTATGCTCTGATTTTGTTTTTTGTTTTTTTTTTTTCTGCCCAAATCAAACATAACCCTCGGTGTGTCCATATTCCCAACAAAGCTGATAGATCATCTTAGTAGTGTGTGCAACTCCTTGACAGATGAGCCTGACTTTACTCAACCTGTTTTTTTTCCCTCTCATTTCAAATGCCAACCCTCCAGCCGCACCCTGTGCTGCAGGTTGAAACAGGATTTTCAAACAGTCCCACAAAATTAGGAAAACAAACAGAATTCTCCTTCCAGCTCAGTCTCCGATGTCCTCAATTTCACTCTTAGCATCAAGCTTTTCCTTCAGTGATCTTGAATCGCCACGTATTCTCCACTCTTTCACTTCATCAATGCTTTTATTTTAATGAACAGATAATGTGTCCACCCTCCCCTCCCCTCTTCTACAGAGCTCCATCAGCTGTAGACAGATCTAACACAGCTATAAGAAAAATACACTTGACTGTTAGGGTGAATACTAGATGAATGTAAGGTCTACTCTTGTCATATTTCCATACCTGAAGCACACCAGGCTCTCTATGTATCAGTTCCTTATTTATTAAACCAGTAGCATCTCACAAAAATGTCACCCCACAAGTCTCTCACTGTCTTGAACCTTAGTTTGGAAAAAAAAAATCTAGTCTCTTTTGTTGCTCTGGATTCTAACAATTCCTTGCTTAGCTACTATGTATAAATGTTTGACTCAGTCCTTTTGACATACTACTGTGGTGTCATTGTTAAATAATTTCCCTGCACACAGATGATATCAGATTTATAATTACCTTGTAAAATTTCAACCTCTAGTTTGTTAATTGACTGAGCTTTAAAGCTAGGGTAGGCAACTTGTTTCAGAGACATTTTTTGTTGTTGTAAATTCTCCTTACATCCCGATAGCAATCAATGAATGATATGCTCTGAAAAATAAAAGAAAAAATCCCTTATCTATGCCTGTAATTAGCCTGTTCAGTCATATTGCATGATGATATGGCTGAAAAAATGTATTGGATAGCTTGCCTGTCTGTTAGAGAGACAGCATTCTTATTTGCGCTGTTCTGCACATGTAGATGTACATGCACGTCTCTTTGGGAAAGCCTGATTCAATGGTGAATTTGACCCACTACAGCTGCTGACCAAGGGTCCGTCTCCCGAGCTGCTGCCCGCTCTCTTCCTGGGAAAGCAGTTCACAGCGTCAGGGAAGGGATGGCAGGGTTGCTAATGTTAGCATGCTAATTCTTGTTTCACTTGTGATATGATAAACAGAGAGTGAGAGCAGGGCAGGGAGGGGCTCAGTGAATGAGATGAGAATGCATGGGAAACACTGAGTTACTGTATGGAGCACATGCATATGCCCATGGTTGTCTTTTTCCAGATTTCTGCCTGCCCCAGCTTTAAGGTCATCACCCGCTTCTTGTGTCGGTCCAGTTAACTGAGATGCTGCTTTGCTGCTGTAACAACAAATTAACTTTGTCAGGTTTAGCCTCCCCAACTGCTGCGCTATAAATAATCCAGCATAAAAAACAATCACATACTTTTTGTCTACTGCATGGTCTCTCATCAGTTTCCTTTCTTAACCCTGCAAGCCTGTTTATCCCCAATGGTGTGTCTATTTTTCCTCAGACCTCCTTAATTGCGTCTGCATAAGAGACAGTCTGAGCTTCTTGTGACTACATGACCAAATCACTTGACTGTTGTAGCATGTAGGGGGACAAAAGGGCTTCACATTGTTGTTAAAGAGAAAAACAGAGTCTGATGATCCTTCCTCATGCCATTCTTTGTTCTCTAGTCTCTCAGCACTTATTATCACTCTTCCTGCTAGGTTACTCGTGGGTTTTTCATTATTAATACTCAATGGCACACTGGCAATTTCATCTCAATTACCTCTGCCTACCTTCTGTATTCCCACTTGATTTTTGACCGTGCTGAAATTAACTATGTTAAACACTCAGTAACCTCTGTTTTGAAAAAAAAAAAATCCATATTAAGTGTTTTTATTGTTTTCCCAGATCAGATTTATATTTTTTATGTCTTTTTAAGTGCGCTACTCATCCCATCAATTTATTTCCATTCAGAAAAAAATTGGCAAGTCAAATGTCTCCAATTGCGTCACATATATTGCTGAACATTTTTCCTTTTGCTCTAATCATCTCCACTGTATTCTGTAAAATTTTCATTCCACTTACTCAAGTTTCTTTAATCCAGGAGAAATCAAGTACATTATCAAGTAAAACAAAGTACTGCAGTTACCAAAAGACATTTAATTAAGCTGTCCCAACAAGAATCAAGTAATTGCTCAAAATAATTGAATTAATTGTGGTTAAACTTAATTTTTTGCTCAGTTCAGCTTGGTTGGTGATGTGATCAAGCAGACAGACAAAACAACACTGTCAGAGAAATTTATGCCTATGAAGTGTATCTCATGTATGTGGACTAAAGCAACATTGCGTGTTCTTAATGTAGGTTTGCATTCTCACTGTGCTGACTTGAGTTGAGACTATGTTCCGAAGGCATCAAAATATGCACAAAAGTGAAGTATTCCGTAATAACATAGTGAAACTTGGCATCTGAGTTGGTACTGGAAGAATGTGCATATACTGTACTTCTTGACCCATCTCTGTCTTTGTTAATCGTGGCCTCTGATGCTGCGTTTACTTGGACAGCACAGGAAAAACAAACAGTCCGACAAAATGTCATGACGGTAAAACGAAACATGCATGATGATATGTTTCAAAGGTGATGCTGTATTTACAAAGAATGGACTAAAATGTATTAAATAATTTTGCGTTTATTAGTTTATGTGCTTTTGCTAGTAATGCCCAGTAATTGTCTAGACCGCAAGTGTTTTCTCCTTGTGTGAGAGAGCTCTGTAATATCACGCTGTAAATTTTGTCGCAGAGGATGTCAAAAAGTTTTAACGCAGGGCGTCGGTGGCTTAGTGGATAGAGCAGGCACCCCATGTACAAAGGCACTGGCCCTGCTGCAGCGGCCGCAAGCTAGCCTCCAGCCCTCAGCCCCCCGCCACGTGTCACTCCCTCCCACCCCCCCTCACTGTCCTGTCAATTAAAGGCATAAAAGCCCCAAAAAATAATCTTAAAAAAAAGTTTGAACGGCAATAGCTTCTACTGTTACTGTTGCCAGTATTCTCTGCTAGCCTCACCTAATGTCATTAAAATGATATCCGGTTTGCTGTTGACTGTCTCCTGATTCCATGTGAACGCAGCATGAGAGGGAATTTAGTTACAGAAAAGAAACAAAGAATCGGTTATCATTTATGTCATCGTAGCAAGCATAGAAGGTTGATGACCAAAGTGGTCCCATCTAAAGCCATGCTTTACTTTTTATAACCCAAAACCTGACCAGTTTGTATCTCTGGGTTTAACCATATATATATACTTTACCCTTTTTTTCCCAGGATAGTAATGGTGGGATAGGTCTCCTGGAGCCCATGATGAACAGCACTTTACCAATCAAGGTCCCCGTGACAGAACCTGTCGTGAAAATTGCGTCAGGTAAGAAAGTCCCCTTTACTTAAGTCTGTGTTTTTGTATGCTGCATATGAACTTCTAACTGTGTTTCTCTTTAATTTTTTATGATTTTTTAATAGGTAATGACCACATTGTCATGGTTACACTGGAGGGAAATCTTTACACATCAGGCAATGCACAGCAGGGGCAGCTGGGAAGAGTGTCTGAGCGGTTTTCTGACAGAGGCGGCAGGAAAGGCCTCAGTAAGTAACACAAGCCTTTTCAAGCCCAAAGCATCAACTTGTGATGTTACAATAGTATACAGGATTTTACATTAACATTAATTTGTGATTGCAAGAAACGGATGTTTTCATGTCTCATGTGTGATGTATATTGCTGTGGCCTTCTGCCTGACTGTGTCCTGTGATTTCAGGCCGGCTGCTGGTACCGCAGATTGTGGAAGTCAAAGGGAAAGTTCACTTCATTGATGCCTTCTGCGGAGCATATCTCACCTTTGCTCTGTCAAAAGATGGGCATGTTTATGGATTTGGTCTCGCCAATTATCACCAGCTGGGTAAGTGTCATCAGTGTTTAGTCCCTTGATAATGTCAGTTGATCAAATTTGTGCCATAACTTTGACTGCAGTATCTGACACTGCTTTACGGTCAGCTATGAGTCAGTTGCTCACATTCTGCTCTAAGGTTATTGCAGCAGACTTTGTGAGGTTACTTTATGTTTATTTATAATGCACCCTTCTTTTTTTAATTCAGGCACTGGAAGCACCAAGATGAGTTTTACCCCGGTAAAACTGACGTGCTTCAAAAACTCTACCACCTCCTGGGTAGACTTCTCTGGAGGAGAACATCACACAGTCTGCCTTGATGCTGAAGGTAAGCTCCTTCTAACACATCCAGATTTACTATGGCCCCTTTTACACTTGTTCAGTGTGGGAATGTTGTGCTGTTGTTCCGCTTTGCCATTTTGTATAAAAGGGTACGATTTCAGAATAGATGGACAGCCTTGTCTTGCCTTTATACTGGTGGTGGAGGTAATAACAGTGCCGAATCAATATGTGCAAAAGGGACAGCCGGCAGGACAGGAGGCATGTGACGTTTTGACAATATGTTATCTATTATCCCGCAGCTGGTAGATTAAAAAAGCAGCTGATCGCAGTTAGCAGCTAACTCAAAAAAGAATGGCAGCTGAAGATGTCCACAAATTGGGAAAACAATAAGGTCCGAAAGCTCCTTACTCTCTCAGCAGAGGACAAGATTAGAATGCGCTGCTGACACTTGTGTTATATGACACACTAGAAGCCAAATCTGTTGTCACATGCCATGCTCAACACCGCTTTTATGCCCCCGGTGGCCTGAAGGGGCTTCATCGTGGCCCTGTTGCTGTGTTTCTGTATAAAAGGGCTAATGTTTGGCTGTTAAAACTAAATACCTGCTTATCAAACTTTGGGATCCCATCAAGGCAGATTTTAAGTACAGAGGTAATTTACAGCTGATGTTGCAAGTTATGTATATATTTTTTGTAATTCAACAATATAATCAAACCCTGGCTGAAAATGGTTGAAAAAGGTAAAAAATAAACAAGATAGTGTGTGTTCAAAATGTTAAAAGCATTTTAAAACTTACAAGATGCAAGTAAACATTCTTTCTTGATTAAGTAATTTAACTACCAAACATAAAAATGGATCCTTTTTCTCCTTATCTTTCAGGACAGGTATATAGCCTGGGCAGAGCGGAGTATGGTCGTCTCGGTCTGGGCCAAGACGCAGAAGAAAAGAGTGAGCCCACGCCTGTGATGGGGATGGAGCCGGCCAGTGGAGTGACATGTGGGGCGACTGTCAGCTACGCCGTCACCAGAGAGGGTGAGAGAAGAAGCAAATGCAGTAGCGGAATGAGTGATCAACTTCTGAGTCTTTTTAATTGGAGTGCTACATATTGTTTGCTTTTAAGGCAGTGAACTATAACAAGTGTTAGCCAGTGCCTCTAAAAACAACCCACAGGACTCACAAGTATTTTCTGATTGTCCACCTCTTTGGTTAACGTTAGGAAAAAGTTTCTGTGGAAGTTAAAAAAAACTTCCACATTGGACATATTACAATCTCCTGTGTTAAGGTCACACTGTGTATACACAACCATTCACCTTGACCTACTTCCTGCCTTTGCCACACACAGAGTACAGTCATTAGTCAGTCAAAGGCAAGAGGCCTCTGTCAGCAAAACACAGCCATAGGTAAGTATACCAGAAATTAAATAGTCAATACTGGTGAAATGCCACTATTCTTGATACTCAGTGCGATACCACGGTAATTGTAACGTAACAAAACAATAAATCACTTGTACTTCTCATACGTTCCTTTTTTTTAGAACCATGTTTAATTAAAATTTTGTATCAATCCTTGATGATTCGTCTCAAACACAAACTACTAGTTGATGTACATTCATTAAATTTGTGTGCGAGCAATCAGCCAAAACATTAATCCCACTGGCTGGTGAAGTGAATAATACTGATCATTTCATGACGATGCAGTCTTAAACTGGGAAGCCTTGTGTCCTGGCATTCATGTGCATACCACTTGATGTGCTCCACCCCCGCCCCTAACACCAAATCTCCATTATTGCGGCAACTTCTCTGCTGCTAGCTGATATGAATTATTTATTTTTTTCCAAAGTGTGTCATCTTAATCTGTCCAATGTTTGCACTTAGCTAAGAGAGTAAAAACAGTGGATGCTTATTGAACTTACTGTTGGCTGTGCTTACTCCAGGATCTGTGTACGCCTGGGGCATGGGCACCAACTTGCAGCTTGGCACAGGAGAGGAGGATGATGAGTGGAGCCCCGTGAAGATGACAGGCAAGCAGCTGGAGAACCGTGCAGTACTGATGGCCTCCAGTGGAGGGCAGCACACAGCCCTTTTGGTCAAAGACAAGCAGGAGAGCTGATGTCCATCCCAGATGGGGATCTTTTGATCTGTTTGGCGGTGGGGCCTTTTTCATGATGCCTAAATCTGGGTAGGGGGTCGATCTATGTGTGACTTCTCGTGCTGAGCCGATGAAGTGCGAGAGGTTCATGCCCTTTTATGAGAACTCTTCATGGATGTTCAGTAGATCATGACAAATGAGAGACTATTTTTTTAAAGTCTAGTTTTTGATGTTCCATTTGAATTATTTTCATTAAGTCATTAGTATGACTGTAAGATGGTATATGTGATGCTTGTGATTGTGACTGCATGTACGTAAAGGAAAAGAGAGTGCAAGCCTTTTAATGACTTCCCCAAACAATAGTCTTTTTAATGTTGATTTTTCTTTTCTTTAAAGCAATAATTCCTCTGACACTGCTTCAGACGGGACATTTGTACTCAGTGAGTTTAACATGTGAGACTACTGTTCATTTTACCTGGGGCACACATATTCGCTGTGACTGGACATTTGGTAACACGTCATACTGTATCCTGCATTTTGTTGCATTTCCTCTCTGACAATAAAGATTAAATTTTAAGGTTTTAAGCCTTTTCTTATGAAATGCATCACATGTATTGCAACCATTTTGATAATTGACTTATTGAGTTATTTTCCATGCAAAAATACCCCAAAATTTGCTGGTTTGAGCTTCCACATGTGAGCATTTGCTGCTTTTCTTTGTCTAATGATACTAAATATCTTTGTGGTTGACAACACGACTGTGTCTAAAGATGGATGACTTCACAGCTCCCCAAATATGAAGCCAAATTGTCTTGATCGCCCCCTGGTGGCTGGCTGCAATGTAGGTCAGAAACCCTGCCTCCTCCCGTTAGCTGATGGAACATGGGCCAAAAAAAAACAACTTCAAGTACACTTTAAATAAATTTTTCCCAAAGATGTTGTCTGTCATTTAAGGAATTTCCAATCACACAGATGTATGTTCAAGTGTTCGTTCTGGTTTTAAGAAGTCATTTGATACTATAGGAAGTGTGACATCATGATTGACAGCTGTGTCTGTCAGTGTGCCCACGATTAATGGTGTTGCCCATGATAGCGTCAGATGGGTGTATGGATTGGAACTCAAAACTGTGGCTCCACCTCCCGATTGCTACTGCACAGACTTTGGCTTCAAATGATGTCACCAGTGGAAGATGGCAATGCCCATATCCAGGATAATGTCATCCATCTTTATGCACTACCTTTGCTCAAATGAGACATTTTAAAGTGTCACTTTTGGTTTGGGAATATTGTGTTGGGAATTTTTAACAGCATTCTGACATTATGTAGACAAAGCAAACAACTAATCGATCAACAAAATAGCTGGTAGATAATGGTGATAATGAAGGTGTGTATTTGCAACCCTGCTAAAACCACAAACATGTTGGCACACTTGTGAAAGGGAAAATCAACTGTGAAGCAAAATCAACAGGGCTTGGCGTTTTAGTCAGTATTTTGTTTATAAATGACATGAGCAAAAATTTTGTTGATTTTTATTCAAGCAAATAGAAGAAAACATTTTGACATGCTTATATTTAATACATCTGTTGTTGAGGATATGGGCACATTTTGTTGTTTGACTTTAACACCATGACAAAATAGACTGTGAAAAATCAATCATTTATTTGTCACATGGAATCATACAAGGTGCAGCTCCAGTGAATTGTGATCCCATCAGCGCCTTTAACTTGTGCTCTTTTTTTTTTTTTTGTTTTTTTTTTTTGTTTGTTTGTTTTTCTTTGCCTGATCTGTTATCATTGGTTGCTGCTTTATTATTGTTTAGGTTTATGGTTATCCATGGTTTCTTGTAGTGGAATGATTTAACTGTCCACACATCCTGACCTCAACAAGACAGCCACATGGTCATTCCTCTCGCCATATGGCAGTGATCTACAGCAGGACCAGGACAGCACCTCACATTCCCACTGTCACACCAGTCCTTATTCTACGCTAAATCACACACCTCTTCTCCTTCTCTCGTCAGAATCCTCTGCTCTGTCAGATCGGATTGGCATGTAGAAAAAAAGCTTCCTGGTTGGAAAGCGCTGTCCAGGATTTAGCCAAGTTTCAGTCAATAAAAGAATATTACAGTTCCTGATGTCCTGTTGGAAACTGATGGGGTACCGCGGTCATCCAGTTTATTTTACAGCACCTGTAAAGTGGCTAGCAGGATGCAAGCTCAGCTGGAGCCCATTCTTTTCATCTTTCCTTTATGTTTACTGGTGTTTACATCTGAAAACCTCGACCTGGTTAGCTAGCAGAAGGAGAGTTTACAGACTGGTGAGTTGATATCCTCATCCCAAACAAGTGACTTGCAGCCACACGCCACCACCGTCCAAATCCAACCACAAAAAGCACCACGAAAGACTTGCAAAATAGACATAGGAGCATGAATTCAGCACAAATGTAGCAGAGCTGACAGAGACAACTGGTAACACCCACGCCTACATCAGCTTTATTTACACCTTTATTTTCAGCATGATAAAATATTGTTATATCACCCAGTGTGGCTCATTGTCCTTTTGTATACCCTCACTGCAGGGAAGGAAGAAAACATGGCCTTGTTGTCGTGTCTTGGCAACCTTATGCGTTTAAATTAGTCAGGCTGCACCCTTGTGCACATTAACATTAGTTCTGAGGACATCATTGTGAAAGGGAGGCACAGAGGAAGATGCCTCTCTAGCATACTAGCACAGCCGCTTAGCCCATAGCTGCTTTATGTCTATTATGTATGCAAACAACACATTCCACATACACAGAGTCATGAATGTAAATTGGAACACTTAAGAATGCAAATGATGGTACAAGTATACATCAAAGCTACATGCTTTGTGTTTTATCTGGGGTGAGACGCACAGGGTCCTGACTTGTCTCATCTCACTTTCATCTGACCAAAAGGCCCAGTGATGAAGAACAAGGGCCTCGACAAGCGCTCGTGGCAGAAAGCTTCTCGAACAGCTTTGAAATGCTAAAGTATCTTTCATAAGCAGTTAATGAATCAGAGTGAACCTCTTCCCTTGTTTGTTTTGCACTGCTGTTTGTCAGGAGTACATTTAAAGGTTCGCTGTTCATTAGTAATGGTTGTTCAGTGGCTGTAAGAGTCTTTTAAGAGCGAGAGTGATGATTGTTCTTAACCGTTTCCAATGCTCTTCTCCGCCACTTCACTCTTGTTTTGTAGTGGAAAACATCTGAAGTGGTTATGAGTATTAAAGCAAAAGCAGCTTTCTTCATCAAACCTCACATGGATACCAAATGTTTTTGAGAGATGTTTTGCAAAGAGCATAAGTTGTTAAGGTTTTCTTTTTATGAATAAAAAACAGATAAATATCAATACTACACTGCTGTAAGAATATTCATTTCTACTGTGATGAATATAATCTGTTCTGGCAATGACTAAAAAGATCACTTGAGATTTCACTCTAGTGTGACAATTTTCTCTGATGGTTTGACCCCTTAATATAACATATTCTGTCCTGCAATTTGGCCTTCATTTAGAAATGAGCGGGTACAATTTAAAACACCAAATAAGACTGAAAATATTCATGTTATTACGCACACTATTTCTTGAGAATAATAACACTGATTAAGTGACCTTCAGACATGCACTCATTATTTCTCATCACCCGCTGTGCCTGAATTTTGGCAGTTTTAACATTTGAACAATTTTGTGAAAGCTCCCTTAACATTACCTATCAAAGGGACGGTGCTTCACCACAAAATTAAAAACACTTTTTTCCCCCTTTTACCCGTAGTGCTATTTACCAATCTAGATTGTTTGCTGTGAGTTGTTGAGCGTTGGAGATATCAGCTGTTGAGATGTATATCTTCTCGTAAAGGGCCAGTGTGTAAAATGGGTTGAAAACAGTGACATCAGTGGTCAAATTCTAGATTGCAGGGCTCACTCGCTCACCCCTCCTGTCAGGGTAAATGACAGTGGCCTCGTAGGGACAAAAAGCCTTGCGCACGACTTTTTCAGGAGTAGGTCTATCTAGCGACGAGGTGAATGTTTATTTAGAAATCTAAACCATGTTACGATATTGTAATGAATCCCTCACGAGCAGGAGACCAGAGGAGCGTTCGGGAAAAAGGCCAGTTTATTTGAGCACTCCAGAAACTCCGGTAACACTCCACTCCATCCCAAACTCTGACTCTTCTAGCGTAACAGACACACTTCATAACTTTACACACATACTCGTTTACCATACTAAGTGGGGACCCCCTTCCCCTCTCTGCTCCACCAATCTCCAGCCCGCACACTGACTGACAGCGTAGCCGGTAACAGAGCTCAGCTGTTTATTTAGCCTAGCAATATCTCCGGACTATAGTAGCTGCAATGGACGACTTTGAACGCGATTTTGAAGAGTTTCTTGTAGCGGACACAGACCCAGAGCCATACCTGTTTGAGCCGGAGAACACAGATGAGGAACTCCATGTGTTTGATGCTGAGCGGGCGAGAAGAGAGGCTGAATGCACAGAATGGGATTCAGTGCTACTGCTGCCATCGCTGGGGAGATATATCATCAGGAGGAAAAGCGCTGCAGAGAGTGCATCACAAGGAGTGAAGTTGCGTCTTCTTTTCCTCGCAGATGACGGTTCGGGTTCATTCTCTCCTGTTGCGTGGTAAGTGTGGTCCATTCGCAAACTTTATAACTGAAAAAACTTTTCACTACTCTCTATCGACGAACTACTAACACTCTCTGCTGTTTCTTCCTCCTTCTTCCTTCCTTCCGCTGTCTTCGTTGGTTCATTTATACATGCGAAACGCGTTCTCTGGCTGGCTGGATTGTCCACTCGGTCTGCCGTACATACATGGCGGCGCAAGATGGCGATCTCTCTAAAGCAAGGCCCTTGATATATATATGTATATATATATATATATAAAAGCATAATTTTAAGGCTACAAAAACCAAACGAATTTTATTTTATAGCGATCATACACTTGTATAAACATATTAATGGGTAGAATATTCAGATTCAGATTCAGATTGACAATAAACCATGCCAAATATTACACACTGGCCCTTTAAATACAATGGAACTAGATGGTGATAGTGATGGCACTTGGCTCAAAGTGCCAAAAATATACATTTTAAAAACTCATGACCTGGCTACTCAAGATAATCCACAGGCTTTGATTTCTGGAAAGTGACATTGTTGTTGAGTTTTATATTCCAGAGAGGGCAGACATCTCAAGGGCCGATACCTCTAACAAAGCAATCAAAACAATCTGAATTGATAGATAAAAGGAAAAATACTTATTTCAGTCAGGACCATTTTAGTCAAAGAAAACTTAATTTCCATTTGCAGTATTATATTTGGCGGTATGGCTCTGTTCTGGGGCCTCTCTGCCTTTCCTCAGGTCTACGTAGAAATCCTTTTGCATGCGCCTTCGTGGAAAGCCTTAGACAGGGGGACCAACTATGCCTTAGACCCCCGGGAACAAAACAGAGCAGGATCAATGACAAAGAGAAATGACACTGAGTCAGACACAGCATGAAAAGGAGGAGCTGGGGTGGAGGCGGGTTGCAAAGCGGCTTGCAGA